GGATTGGCTGTTTATTCAGGGACCAAGTTTTATGCAGGAATGCGGTGATGCTGGTGGAGCCATTTTTCTGCTGGAAAAGGAGCCACTGGACAAGGAAAGGGATTGGGCTTATATGGGTTATACTGAGAGGTGACTTAATTAATGGGCTTGTCAGTTTGGGGCACTTAGGAATCCAGGGTCTGTCTAACTTGGTGAAATGAGAGGGAGTCTGGGGTCAGTGGTCAGTTTTAAGCACTTAGGAAACTGGTTGGTGAGAATTTGAAAATTTGTTTTTACTGAGCAATATTTTAAAGAGCAGGGGCTGCTTTTGGGTCCCATCTGGGGTGCCAGATTTGTTGCTGAAAGCTCAGTCCTTTTCCCTGATGCCAATCCAATAAAGAGGACACCATTTTGAGAAAAAGGAAAAAAGAAGGTTCATTGCTTTGAAGAAGAATGGAGCGTCTGGGGTCAGGATTCATAGCTTATCTCTTTCTCTTCAGGGTCCCATTGTACTGGCACTGAGAAAGGATCTATTTGGGGAAGGATCCAAACTTTGGCTTCCTTTCTAGGGATTGTTCTGTCACTGGGAAAGAATCAATGTGCTGCTTTTCTCTTCATTCCCAATTCCCAGGCTATATTATTTTGGTGTTTGTCATTTACATGGATAATAGTCTTGACAGGAAAGCAGCTCAAACTTCAAACATCCCAACAAAAGAAAATATAAAGTAAGACACATCTCATATGTGAGAACCTTATGATCTGATTCAGGGGAAAGTCAGAAATTCCTTCTTGCGTTTTATGACCTGCTTCAGGGGAGAAGGTGTGAGTGCCTTCTTGATTTTGATGTTTTCACAAATACCAAGGTACCATATTTTGAAGTAGTGTGTCCTGAACTTCCACAGTGGGCAATGGGAGGAAACAAAATAGATGAGTGTTTTATCCAACCTGCTTTATTTTCTTTAATGTAATACTTCGAAAGCTTCATAGTTTCCTCTAAATATTCCCTTTATTTGTTTCTAGTCTTTTTAAAAATGCCTAACTTATTTGCATTGTTGTCAAAAAAACATGGCCTGTATGGTACCAGTTCTTTGAAATATGTTTGGGTTACCTTTGAACTATTATGAGATCATTTTTTATAAATATGTGCTTAAAATATGACTTTTCAAATTTTGAAATGGAATAGTCTACATCATTACTACATCAAGTTTGATATTTTGCTCTTCCAATATCCCATATCTTCAGTGATTTTTTTTTTTTTAATACCAGGAATTGAAAGAACAGAATCTTGCTAGATTGATTAGGGCCTTGCTAACTTGCTAAGGCTGGCTTTGAACTCATGATCCTCCTGCCTCAGCCTCCTGAGCCACTGGGTTTACAGGAGTGTACCACCTCTCCTGGCCAATGATCATTCTTTTTATCATCTTTTCTGTCAATTAATGAGAAAGATAGGTTTAAAATAACTCTGTTATATTTGTTAGTTCTCTTTGTAGTTCTACCAACTTTTTCTTTGAAGTTACATTATTAAATGTATAAAAGTTTATGAATATTTTCATTCCCTGGTAAATTAATCTTTTTAACATTTTTAATTTCCTTCTCTACCTCTAGAAATATTTTGTCTTACTTTGAATTAAATGTAGCTATATAACTTTCCATGTTAATATTTGGCATATCTTTTTCCTACCCTTGACTTTTTCCCTCCACATTTATTTTATGGTGCATTAAAGTTGTACATAATGGGTGGAATTCATTGTTACAAATTCATACATGCACACAATATAACAATATAATTTGGCCAGTATCCTTCTTAAGCACTTCATCCTCCCTCCCCTTTTCCCACCCCTGTCCCTTTCCTCTATTCTATTAATTTCCCTTTGTTTTACAATTATGTGCGATCATCCCACCTTTCTTATCCTTTTTCCTCTCTAGCATCCACATATGAGAGAAAGCATATGACCTTTGATCGTCTGAGTTTGGTTTATTTTGCTTAACACAATGGTCTCAAGTTCCATCCATTTTCTTGAAGATGGCATAATTTCATTTTTTCTTTATGGTGGAATAAAACTCCACTGTGTATAGATACCACATTTTCTTCACCCATTAATCTGTGGATGGCACCTAGACTGTTTCCATAGTTTGGCTATAATGAATTATGCTGCTATAAACATGAGTATGCAAGTATTGATGCAGTACGCAGACTTTAATTCTTTATAATTAATATTGAGGAGTGGTTATAACTTGGAGATTCCATGTCTAGTCTTTTTTTTATAAGAATTTTACCTTTATTTTATTTATTTGTTTTCATGTGGTGCTAAAGATCAAACCCAGTGCCTCATCCATGCTACCCATGCCTAGTCTTGAGAATCTGACCTTTGACTTTCAAGATTTGTGTATCCTTACTGCAGCTAGAGTTTTAAAAATATTATCTGACAATATTTTTCTTTTAACTGGTAAGTTCATTCTATGTGAATATCTAATAATTATTGATAGATTTGGATTTATTATGGAAATCGTGCTTAGCTAGAGACCAAGCACCACTGGAAGGATTGGAGAACTCTGGGGGACCCAGAAAGGTAATGCTCTGAAATTCTGGGCCCTGAGCTAGGGTTACAGGGGGGCTCTTTATAGTAAATTTGACATCATTCCTTAACCATTACAACTTGAACTTCATGACCAAGGACCATGTACAGAAATTTTATAAATAGGTCACAGGTGCAGAACAAAGACAATAAAACACTTGCAAGTGTTATCATGAAGTGTCCTTTTCCAAGGCAGCAGTAGCTCAAAATGACTTGAGTTTATCTCCCTAAGAGGTATATGTCTAAGAATTAAGCCTACGAGGTTATAGTTAATTGGCATAGTGACCTAAAATTTATACTAGCAATTAAGTGATGTAGCTATATTCCTATACATTTTACAAAATAAAAGAAGAAACTTCACAGGCATCTGTTGCATCTCTGGTCTTGAAGTCTGTCACAGAGATGTTTACATATCAAGAGAGAGTTGTCAGACTTCCTAGAGACAGCTATTTACACCCCTATAGATAGGGATCCACGGTTAATTAGATTCCAGGAAGAGAGGCTGGCAGAGGGGAAGGGGAGAAATTAACCCTTTCCCAAGGCACTGATTCTCTATCATAAAGTTCTTATATTCATTTTATAATCAGGCCTGGTATTTCCACCACATCATTACTATTATTTTCTAACATACTTTCTATTTTTCCCAATTTTTCTGTTTCTGATTTGTTTGTACTTGTTTGGAAATTGCACATTCTACGTTGTCAAGTTTTACCAAGAGCCATTTCTACGAGAAAAACTGTGTTGAATATATCCATATAGCTTCTATGTTGTAATCCTAGAGAAATACTGTCCCGATGCAGGGACAGGTTTTTTTATTTGGTAAAATTGCTTGATGCTGAGTTACCTTAGTTTGTATGAATTGTGAAATTTTTCATATTTTTCCATGTTTTGAAATAATTCAAACAACTGTGAAAGAGAAGAGCTAGACATTAATAAAATGCAGTAAAGCCAGATTTTATTCTGTACTATTGCAATGGGGGAGAGCAGCTTCAGTAAATCAGAGCTGAACTCTGAATACAACACAGACAGCTGCAGATTTTTGGCCAACAAGCAGGGTGAGAGTGTCAGTGGATGAAAAATTACTAAGAGGAAACATCAAGTGGTAGATTCTTGCTAAAGGCAGGCCAATGACTTAATACATTAAGGGTAGTGGATGAGGAACTTGATCAGCTATCCTGAAGTGGCACCCCCTCTTCACCATGGCTGATTTTAGGACTATCAGCAAAAGAGTCCATTGTAGATAAACTTCCTATTTTCATGTCACCCTGCTTACTTGGCCACTGGCAGAGAAGATACCAGCACTCCAGGTGCTGGACACCCCCTCACTAGTTTTTCACAAAGGTATCCAGTATAGTACTTTGAAGAAATGTGCAAACAAGGCCTCTGGCCTTGAGCTGGGCTTCACAGGGATGTCTACATTTTTAAGATAAGTTACAAATGGGCCCATGGTAACAGCTGGCGGGGGGGGGGGGGGAAGAAAGGGGAGATGAAGCTCTCCCCTTCTCAGGTGTTGTCCTTGAAGAGTTAACACGCCCAGAACAGTGAAAGAAAAAAGCTGCTTTTACCTGAACTTCTGCAGACTGTGAACTTCTGAGCCCCTCCCCTTACATGCTGGGTATAAAACTCCGAAAATCCCTGAACTCGGGGTTCAGGGGATTGATTGGTTACAGCAAAGGCTATACCCTCTGAACCTGGCTGCAGCCAAATAAAACTGTTTCCTGCTATCTTCAGTGCCTTGCCTCCTTTGTCCCTACAACAGTCCAGGGTGGGAGACTTAAGAGGATTCTTGCTAAAACTGGGCCTGGCAGTCCCAAGAGACCTAGTCAAAAGAGGGCTCTAGAAGACTGGGTAAAGTTTGATTCAAGACATGGGCTTTGTCTCAGCAAAGAGGCAGAAGAAATTAACAGTTATTTTTGGAAAACCAAATTTTACAAATTAAGGTGTCATTTTTCTGCACCAAAAATGCCAAACACTTCAGCAAATTCCAAAGGGGCAGATCTGATGAAACTACCTCAACGCAGGGCACACATTTAACTGAAGGATTTTACCGGATTTTTACACAGCGATAATGTTGAAATTCTCAGAGAAGCGCCTGACACTGAACTAGAGAACGGGATATAGTAGTGTTTATGGAGCATCCACCACGTACCTGGTGTGTCACTACTTTACTCCTTTGCAAAGGGTCCTCTAGGTTCCTCTCATTTCCAAGAAGGAAAAATCAGGCTTAGCCAAGGATGTCTGTCCTCACTACCATCCGACAGGATCTAAGAAGAGTTTCTTTGGGGAAGCAGGGATAAAGACATAATGCCCATCCATTTCTTTCTGGGCAACCCCAACAGGAACAGGTGCCACCCTCCGTCCGCCGCACAAAGGTGGCCCCGCGCCTGCGCACTCTGACGCTAGCGTCGTGGCCCGGCAGCCTTGTGGGAAATGTAGTACAACGCCTCGGGCGGGGCTGCGTCCATCGGCTGGCCGCTCAGGCTTGTTCTGCGAGAGGGTGAATGCAGTGCACCGGCGGCGGGCCTCAGAGGATCCCGAAGGAGGAGCCCAGAACTGCAGGGGGGAGGCCTCTGCGGCCCGCGGGGCGGAGCCGGCAGCGGCTGGGCTCGGGGAGAGTCCTCTCCTCCACCGGGCCACTGAGCTGCAGGTGCGCCCCCTCAGGTACCCAGCAGCCAGGCCGTGGTGAGAACCCCCAGAGCTAGGAATATCCCTGACACAGACCTTCCACCTGTCCGAGGAGGGCGCCGAGGCTGGATCACAGCCCGGGAGCGGCGGGGGCGGGAGACTTGGCGTGGCGTTCTGGGGTTCGAAGGGTCATTGGGGGCCTAAGGCATGGCCAGTAGCTCGACCCCGGGTCTCTTCTCCAGGGCTTTTCCGGGCCCCGCGCATCCTAGTCCTGGAACTCGTCGCCAAGGTGAAGGGGATCTGCCCCTCGGAAGTCTCTAGGGATGCTGAACAACAGTCCGGGGTCTCCCACTCCAGCCCTTTGTGTAAACCGCAACTCAGAACACACGCAGTGGTTTCCTGATTCCAAAAAAGGGCGTAGGCGTGGGCTCCCCTTGACCCATCTCTTCAAAAGAACCTGGAAGCCAGATTTCTACTTCAGGATTTCTTTTTTTTTTTTTTTTTTTTGAAGAATTTTTCCTGTTAAAACTTAACTGTAGGTCAACTAGAAAATTCATATGAGCAAAAATCATTTGAGAGTTCTCAAAATCTGTACATGTGTGTAAGTATATTATCACTTTGTTTTTAGAAGGAAATATGAATATTAGTATCACTTCTCCATTTACCCATTAAAAGTGAGTTATGAAATGCATTTGGCAAGGTTAAAGTGCAGGAATCTTAAGCTCCATCACTTTTTGGGTAACTGCCACTCAATGGAGATAAAGAATAAACTTTTTTAAAAAACATGCTGAAAACGTTTACTTATACCAATTTTAAAAACAGCTAAAGCTCATCGACATTTAATGAGTATGAGGGAAAGTATGGCTCTGTCCTTAATTTTCTTTGCATCCCAATTTTTTTAAAATATATATAAGTATATTTTTATATAAATACATATAGACAATCTGGCTGGGTACGGTTTTGCATTGTTGTCGCAGTCTATCAGTCTCTTCAAGTGGATATTTCTAGGTCAGTGGCACAATGTCTTTTAATACTACCTGTCTTCTTACTCTTTAACTTTCTGAGAGGTGCTAATGATAAGCTGTTTAAGTTGCATTTTGAACATTTAGAAGAATTTTTATGCAGTTTGCTTTTTTTTTTTTTTGGTACCAGGGATTTAAACCAGGGGTGCTGTACCCAGGCCTTTTTATATTTTATTTTGAGTTTTTGAGTCAGGTTCTAGCTAAGTTGCTTAGGGCCTCCCTAAGTTGTTCTGGCTGACTTCAAACTAAGTATACTCCTGCTTCAGCCTTCCCAACTGCTAGGATTACAGGCATTCACTATTTTTTTTTGTTTGTTTGTTTTTGATGCTGGGCATGTAACCCAGGTCTTTACACATACTAGGCAAGCACTTTACCACTGATCTATATATCCCAAGCCTTTGTTTTATTTTTAAATTTTCTGATATACAAGCACATATTTCCTAACTGAGCAGAGATGTTACATATTCATATCAAACATAAAACAATTCCTTCATGTTTGGGTCTTTAACATCATTATAAGGGAGCCTCATCTGTACTTTGTTCTAATACTTTTGTGTCATTACACATGTACATCTTAAGTTTTTCCCAAATGGAAAGTCCTTTTGAATAATTTTCTTCACTAATGTGAAATGCCACATTTTTCATATCCTGAATTTTTTATGGTGCTCTACCACTGAGCTATACTTTCAGCCCCTGAATTCTTATGTGTACATTTTTTACGAATCATCTATATTGGAAAGACTTCAAATTGTTCCATTGGTCCTTTCCCCTGTTAGATAATAATATTCATTAGGGCACAGAGTTTATCTATTTTACGTACAGTTGTTCTCACAGCCTAAAATGGTGAGCCCCTTATACAGTTGATAGTTTGGTGAATGAGTGTTCTGCCTATTTGGTAATACTGTGTTCCAATAACTAAAAGTTCTGGTTGGGCAAACTGTCATCAGTGTTCTATTTTATTTTAAAATATTTAATTGACTATATGAGGTTCAGGTGAAGTGTACAGTCAGTACATGTATACAGTGTACAATGATCAAATCAGAATAATTAGCATATCCATGACCTCAAATACATATCAAAAATTTGTGTTGGGAACACTTAAAATCCTTTCTTGTAGGTATTTTGGAGTATACGTCAAATTATTATTAACTCTAGTCACCATACTGTACTATAGAATATTAAAACATATTCCTCCTGTGTAACTGTATTTTTATACCTTATAGTCAACCTGTCTCTGTTCTTTTCTCCCCTCCTCTCTTCTGTACTTCTGTGAGACCAACTTACTTAGTCTCCACATATGAATGTGAACATGAGGAATTTGTCTTTGTGTTAGCTTTTTGTCAGTGTGACAAATACCTGAGAAAAACAACTTTGAGGAGGAAAACTTTATTTTGGCTCTCAATTTCATAGGTCCATGGTCAGCCCCATTGCTTTGAACCTAAATGGAAGTAGAAACCTTGGGAGAAGGACATAGCAGAGGAAAGCTGCCACCTGGTGGCAGCCAGGAAACAAGAAGAAAGGAGGAAGGTACTGGGGACAAGATACACTCTGCCAGGGCACATCCTCAGTGACCTACTTCTTACAACTAGCCCCCATTTCCTACAGTTTCTACCACCTCCCAATAATGCCATCAAATTATTAATTCACTAATCCATTGATGAGATTAGGGCCCTCTTGATCCAGTCACCTCCCAAGAGCCCTATCTCTGAACACTGCTGTACTGAGGGCCATGCCTTCAACACAGGAGCTTTGGAGAATATTTCATATCCAAACCATAATAGTGTTTATCAGTATTTTTTTTGTTTTGGTACTAGGAATTGAATCCAGGTGTGTGCATAACCACTGAGCTATATCCCCAGCACTTTTTTTTTTTTTTTTTTTTAAGAGACAGGGGCTTGCTAAGTTGCTTAGGGCCTTGCTAAATTGCTGAGGCTGGCTTTGAACTCATGATCCTCCTGTTTCAAGCTGGATTACAGGCATGTGCCACACTATGCACCCGGCTTCATCAGTATTCTTTTTAAAATATTTTTCTTTCTGTTGTACAAAACAATTTGCATAATTAACTTCAAAATATTGTTACTCCATTTTAGCTTAATTAGGAGTATAAGTTCAAAAATTCATTTCATGGAAGTGACAACTTAGAATACTGTGACATCCTATCCAGGAATTCAGTATGTATATCTAAGTTCATCTTTCTTTATATATCTAAATAAACTTAATAGAGCAAACTACAAATAAAAATTGTAATTTTCTCTATGTAGATTCCTTACACTCCTATTTATCTGTAGGTACTTTGTTTGTTGTTGCAGGAGTACAGTTTCTCATGATTTCCTGTCCTTCCCTCAGCTCCACATTCCCTAGGAAGGACCCCACAGGAAGGAAGAAGGCGATGGCTGCAGGGCCTCTGCCTTTGGAAGCTCAGGTGACACATCTTTTTCTCTCAAACCTCTTTCTTATTCTCATACTGTGTGTGGGATTCATTACACAGGACAAAGGTATTGCCGATCAGAATGTTGAGGAGTTTTTGCAAAGCCTCCCTCAGTGTCCCTCTGTTCTCAGGCCACTGATACCCTGTCCTGCTGGGTTCTTGATGGTGTTCAAGGATCAGAAAAGGAACAAAAATCATAGAGAAATGGTCCTTGTGTTTATACGGCTTATGGGCTCTCAGGTATTATAAAAGAGGACACATCTGTACAGGATACAATTATAAGGATTAAACATGAAAATAATGATAAGATCAAGTATGGTTATGTTCCCAGATTATTGGTGTTCCAGAGTCTGGAGAAGAGAAATATCAGGGTAGAGATTAGGAGAAGTAGGGGGTGTTTGCCCATCTAAAGGGTTGAAAATGGATAAATGTTGAGGATCTGCTATATAACGGAGTTGGAGTGTCCAATATTAAATCCTGACCCTACTATTTAATATCTGCATTGCCTTAGGCAAGTGACTTGACTTCCTTAAAGCATCACTTCTTCATATTGATGACAGAAATAACAGCATTAACTGAATTTCTGCCATACATCTGGCATTGTTAAGAATTACCTATGGCTCATCTCATTTACTTCATCGGTTTTCTCAAAGCTCAAATAAGATAATGCAAGTGAAAAGAGCCTTAGCTTGGTTCCTGTAATGTTGAAGGTATTTGGTAATTGCTAGGCATCCTTAGTATTAGTCCAGCCAAGAACTTGGTAGTTTAGAGTTTCACTGGTGGGGTGAGGGTAGCAGTCACTGATAGTGAGACATGCTTGACTGGCATAGAGGGAATCCAATGCCCTATTTGGAGTCAAGCGGAAAGAGGAGCTTGCATGTATGTTGACCTGGCAGGCCTGGGGATGGAAGAGGTACCTGGGAGATCAGTCTGAGGAATTTTGTTAAGAGACTTGGCATGATAAAAGTTTTTCTAGCCAGGTGAGGTGGTGCATGCCTATAAATCCAACAGCTTGGGAGGCTCAGGCAGGAGGATCCTGAATTCGGAGCCAGCCTCAGCAACTTAACGAGGTCTTAAAGCAACTCAGTGAGACCCCATCTCTAAATAAAAAATAAAAAAGGGTTGGGGAAGTGCTCACTGGTTAAGCACCACTGGGTTCAATCTTTGATACCAAAAAAAAAATAAAAATGAAAAATTGTGTAGGAAAAAAAGCAGTGTTAATCAGAAAGAGGAAACCATGAAATTGAAATCAGAAGTGAGGAGCCCTGACTTATTACTTGAAATTAGAACCTGCTAGTTTTCCTGGAATCTGTAGTTGTTGCTTTTGTGGTAGAGCACTTGCCTAGCCCATGTGCAAGGCCCTGAGTTCAATCCCCAGCACCATGGAAAACAAACAAAAACCATAAAGCAATAATGAATATTAGAGAAGGGAGTTTTCTAGAAGAGGGGAATGTTGAATATTAGAGAAGGGAGTTTTCTAGAAGAGGGGAATGTTTATGTGGGTCATCTGGAAGATTCTGGTTAATGAAGATTGTAATTTGGTTATCAGTAGCCTGGATTTGATTTGCTGTTTAATGTTAATTAAGGGTGGCACACGCTTGTAGTTCCAGCGGCTTAGGAAGCTGAGACAGGAAGATGCTGAGTTCAAAGCCATCCTCAGCAACTCAGCAAGGCCCTGAGCAACTCAGCAATAAAATATAAAAAATGGCTGGGAATGTTGCTCAGTGATTAAACAACCCTGGGTTCAATCCCTGCTACCAAAATAATAGTAGTAGTAATAATAATAATGTTACTTGAAATTTTTCAGTGTTAAAATTTTAAATCCACTTTTTTGAGATATAATGAATATAAAATAACCCACTTAAAGCATTAAATTATTTGGCTGTGACAAATATATGTACTAACATAACCACTATCCCAATCAAGATGTAGAACATTTTCATTGCCCCAGAAAGTATACTCATGTCCCCTTCTGGTTGTGAAGCTTTCAAGACTAAGAGGTCTCTGAAAATAAAGTATTTGAGCTATACAGATTCTAGCCAAAAGGTGAAGGATGGGTCCTGGGACAATCCTAGGCCACCAGCAGCATGGCCAGATATCAGGTAGAAGAATGTCCATTTCATTTATAATGAAATTTTTGGGAGAAGAAACATAAATCATTTACATCGAGCCTATAGTAAATAGAGCCCTATATGAGGGGGTGGCAAAGTCCTGGGATAGGTTAGTCCATAAAGAGAAGTTTTTGCTATTTCTCATTTGGTTGGTTTCAAAAGCAGAATGAGGTATAGCCTTGATGGGTAATTTTCAGCATATAGTCAAGGAATGTGGAGCATTTGTTGTTCTTTTGTTGTTGTTGTTGTTGTTGACTTACCTTGAAGCTATGGGTTGGTGTAGCCTTATCTTATCTCTTTCTTCCCTCTATTAGGTCTGTAACTTAATTTAGAACATGTCAGAACTCTTCTCTTATCATAGTCCGTATCACCCATCCCAGGAAACCACTGCTTGATTTCTATTATTATAGTTTAGTCATGTCTTTTCTAGAACTTCACACAAATGAAACCATACCAGGAGATACACTTTTGTGCTGGCTTTTTTTGCTTAACACACTGTTTTTCAGATATATCCACACATACTGTTGTGTGTAGCAGTAGTTCCTTCCTTTTTATATCTAATAGTTTATTGAATGTACCAAATTTTGTTCATCCATTCACTCATCATAAACATTTTGTTTTCTGTTTTTAGTTATTATGAATAAAGCTATAACAAGCACTCATGTATAAGTCTTTGTGTGACTATATGCTTTCATTTCTCTTAGATAAATACATGGATACATGGAGTGAAATTGCTGGCTCAAGTGTATGTTTGACTTTATAGGAGTCAGTTGTTTTCCAAAGTGTATGTACCATTTTAAATATTCACAAGCAGGATCTGAGAATTCTAGTTGCTCAGCATCCTCTGCCATGCTTGATATATCATATTCCTGGGCCTCCTGTAACAAAGCACTACAAACTGGTGGTTCAAAACAACAGAAATTGATTGTCTCACAGTTTTGGAGGCCAGAAGTCCAAAATCAAGGCAATTTCAGGGCTATACCCTTTCTCTGAAAACTGTGGGAATATCCTTCCTTGCCCTTTCCTAACTTCCTTCTGGTGGTTTGCTGCAGTCATTGTGTTCATTGGCTTATAGCTACATAACTCCAGTCTTTACCTTCTTTGTCACATGGTATTCTCCTTGCGTGTTGATGTCTTCAAATGACATTTTCTCATAAGGACACCAGTCATATTGGAGTAGGGGCCCACCCTTCTCCATTATGACCACATCTTAACTAGTTAAATTTGCAGTGACCTTATTTTCACATAGGGTCACATTCTGAGGTACTAAGAATTAGGACTTTAATTTATCTTTTATGAAGGATGCAGTTCAACCTGTAACACATTGTATTTTAGCTATTCCCAAGGATAGAAAATGCTATCTCATTTTTGTTTGTGTGGAGTTTTTTTTAATTTTAATTTTTGTTTTTGAAGCAGGTTTTTTAATGTAGCCTAGGCTGGCCTCAAACTCAGTGGGTTCAAGTGTTCCACCTGTCTCTGCCTCTTAAGTAGCTGGGATTTCAGGTGCACACCACTATGTCCAACTTTATCTCACGGTTTAAAAAAAAAAGGAACCTTTTATTTTGAAACTTTTCAGATGGGAAAACTTGTTGCAAAAATAATAAAAATAATTTTTAGGATAACTTTCACCTGGACTAACATTTTACCATATTTGTTTTCATTCTCTTTCTTCCCTTATATGAGTGTGTGTGTGTGTGTGTGTGTGTGTGTGTTTCTGAACCATTTGAGAAAAAGTCATAGACATGATTTAACTCCAAAGTATTTCACTATGTGTTTCCTAAAACTAAGGCCATTATCTTACATAATAAAAATACACTTATCAAAATCAGGAAACTTACACTGATTACAACATTATTAGCTAATCTGCAAACATTACTGTATTTTGCCACCTTTCCCAAAATATTCTTTACCTAGGCCAGAATCACAAATTGCATTAGATTGTCATATCTCCTTAATTTTCCTTAATTTGGAATAGTCTTTGTACTTGATGACGCCTTTTTTTTTTTTTTTTTTTGGTACTGGGGATTGAACTCAGGGGCACTAAACCTCTGAGCCACATCACCAGCCCTATTTTTGTATTTTATTTAGAGACAGAGTCTCACTGAATTGCTTAGTGCCTTGCTTTTGCAGGTGCTGGTTTTGACTCATGACCCTTCTATCTCAGCCACCTGAGCCCCTGGGATTGCAAGCATCTGCCACTACACCCAGCAACTTTGACACTTTTCAAGAATACATGCCAATTATTTTGTAGAATGCTTCTCAGTTTGGGTTTATTTTATATTTGCTCATGATTTCAGATTTTAGTTTTTTTAATTGAAATCTGAATGGCTGATATGTTCACATGTATATTCAGATGTTGAAAAATGTAAGTTAGCCAGGCATGGTAGCCTAGGCCTATAATCCTAGCCACTCAGGAGGTTGAGGCAGAAGGATTACAAGTTCAAGACAAGCCTGGGCAATTTAGTGAGACTCTGTTTCAAAATAAAATTAGAATGGCTGGGTTTATTAGCTCAGTGCTTTTATACATGTATGAGGCCCTTGATTCAATCCTTAGTACCACACAAAGAAAAAAAACCAATATATATTAATGAGCACTTAAAAAAAATCTCTGCTTTCTCCCCTTGATCTGAGCCTCCTAGCGATCCCTTCTTGTATAAAGGCAATGATGATAATTTCTTATGGAGGCTTCCAGAAGAAACAACAAAAATCCGTATGTATATATATTTTCCCTAATTTTTTATACAGTTGATAAAAGTTAATATTTACTCAGGATTCTACACCCCATGTCTTATTTTTTGTTTTTGTACTTTACAATATATCTTGGAAATTGTCCATATCAATATGTAAAGGGCTTCTGTCTTCCATTGTGCAAGTGTATCATAGTTTACTTAATCAGCTTCCATTAATGGACATTGGCCTAGATTCTTAATATCAACTGGTTATAGGGAGTTCTTCACTTTTGCTACTCCTTCTCTGAATGACTAATGACTTGGAACTATACAGGAGATAATGGGAAATGAGTGATTAAAATGCCAAGAAATAAAAAGTGTCAACTAGCTATTATTATAGATACCACACACTTGGTTATGCGTTCCTTCATTTAATAGGTATTAAATATTTACAGTGTTTTAGTTCCTCTATTAAGGGATAGAGAATAGAGAACAAGGCTGCAATGGACTTACAAATTTGAAATGCCTTTTTCAATTGAAGCTGGTCTCTATAAGATAAACAATTCACATTCTAGGTCAATCCTGTTGCACATAATTTCCTCTAATAAGTGGGATTCCCAATGTATTGTAAGGCCAGCACACCCTCTTGACATCTTTAGGTCTCATGGTTTGGGGAGTTAGGCCATGAGACCCAGTGGCAAGTTTCCCTGCTCTCACCATATATGCCTTCACTCAGCAGGAAAGGCTGTCTTCCAATTATCTCCACCATCAGCTTGACCAGATGTATTCTGCCTAGTGCTCCACCTAACCATTTTACCTCCCTGTCAGCCTGTGAAATTGTTCAGATAAGCCAGTCATATCATTCCACAGTAACCATGGGTTACTCCTTGTCACTACAAAGCCTGCTTCTCACAGTCCTGCTGGTTTACTCTGTTTCTGAGTGAAACCCTTGTGTGACCCTGCATAGTGTGTGAGGTCTTCCTTCCTGGTCTATGACTCGATGTGATTAATAAATTATTGTACATCTCATGTATCTAATGTCATATGTTTCGTTATCTTGTAATGAATAGGGCAGGAAATCCTTTCTTCACCAATGATCTAAATAGGAAGTGATCAGAACGTCATCACCTCTTCTCCAGTAGAAATCTAGAGCAGCTTTTACTACCTTTCCCTGTATTAGTCTGCTTTCTGTTACTATAACAAAATAAACATGGTTGGGTCTTTATTAACAAAAGAGGCTTATTTAGTTAATAGGTTTAGAGATTCAGAGGCATGACACTGGCTTCTAGTTGATTCTGGTAAAGGCTTAATGGCAGATGGTATCACAGAGGTGAAAGGGCATGGAAAAGGAGATCATGTGGCAATATAGGAAGTCAAGAGAGTAGGGAGGTACTAGTAACAACCTCCCACTATGCCCCACCCCATAAATGCTCACCCTCTTAATGCTGCCATCCTGGGGACCAAGTTTCTTACACAATCTTTGGAGACACACCCCCTCCAAGTCCAAACCTTAGCATTCTGTTATACCAACTCTTCCTGTTCTTGACTCCCAAACCACTTTCTATGTTATATTTATCTCTGATAATATCTCGTAATAATATCTGTTTTCATTGCAGATGTTGTTTTAATGTCAGAAGGTAGCATGTTTTTCTCACACAGATCTCTATCGTAGCCCTTTTCCTCCTAGTGTACTTGGTTTTTCATGGCCCTCAGAGGGTTTTACTGGCATAATCCCTTGTTGAGGAGGAATTTATAGTTTCAGGAATCAGTGACATTCAAGGATGTGTCTGTGGATTTCACTTGGGAGGAGTGGATGCACCTAGATTCTGCTCAGAGGAACTTGTATGGGAAGGTGATGCTGGAGAACTACAGGAACCTGGTCTCACTGGGTAAGGACTTCTCCTTGTAATTCAAGACCTACCTCTTGACACCTTTTCCCCCCAATCCTGTGCAACGTCTGAAATTTGTGAATTTGGACTGGAAATCCTAGCTTTTATAGGGCATTGTCTTAGGGTATTTGCTCGGTGTCCCCGCTTTCAAGGTGAACGGTCTTTTCTATAGAGAGTGGAAAATGGGAAATTTCATATGCTACACCTTCCTTTGTTTCAGAAATGTTGACAAGGAAGGGATCAGAACAATACTGGGATTGGTTTTTAGACTCAGTTCAAAACCCAAACTTGTTCTCTTTCCTCCCTTGCAGGGCATCAGCTTTCCAAACCTCTTGTGATCTCCCAGCTGGAACAAGAAGAGTTGAATCTGAAGAACAAAGAACTCCCAGGGTGTGCTTCTCCAGGTAAGTGTCAGGGTTTATTATGTGACACATACCTGAGTGTATTTCAATGGGGAGAAATCACTTCAGGGAGCCTTGGGTCTGGAGAGACTAGTGGCAATTGATATATATTCTGAGGACACCTCGGATTACTGATGGGGCACATTCTTCTAGCTCTTGCCTGCATCCTTATATTGGAGGGAAGTCATACATTACAAGGATTAAACGAGTCACTACATTTGTATAACTTGTTCATCTCCTAGAACAAACTAAGTATTCAGTAAATGTTAGAAGTCTCTTCTATCTTCATCTGGACTTTGAATTGAATCTCTATCATTCTATCTCCTCTGAATAATGTGTCTCCTCTTATTGTCTTTCATGAATTTTTCTTCCAAGTTGTAACTTATATCCCTAAATTCCCTTCCCTTACTATTTAACATTTGGAAGCTTTATTCACATTTAAAGATATCCAACATTCTTCTTCCTCTACCTCAGATAGGTGTTTTTTAGTCTATGTTTAAAACATGAAAAATGACTGTAGCTTCATTTTAATTTTTATCAGTCTTCCATTGTATATATTTTGGTTTTCATTCCTGAATTTTTTTAATATTTATTTTTTTAGTTGTAGTTTGACACAATACCTTTATTTTATTTATTCATATTTATGTGGTGCTGAGGATCGAACCCAGGGTTTCGCACATGCTAGGCTAGTGCTCTACCACTGACAGCCACAACCCTCATTCCCCAATATTTTAATCTGCATTCACTACCCATCCAATTGCATTTTCCTTTTAATGTTTAATGCTTCTTAATCTTTATTTCCTGGTCATATCACCAAAAGTTCTTTTTTTAGATTTCATCACTGGCTTATTTCTGCAGAAATGCATTTCAGATCTTTATTTTCCTTATGTTGTGTAAAAGTATCTTATCTTTTCTTTTTTTGGTCATGATGTTGAGGATTGAACCAAAGCCTCAGAACCCTGCATGCTAGTGATACCTGTCCAGTGTAGATTGGGAACCTGCTATTAACGATTAAATACCTGAGGAATGCCAAGGCAAGCATAGAAAGCAAGTTTTATTTAAGAAAGTGATAGAGGACAGACTTCCCCGATGAGGAGGGGGCTTCAGAGCTGAAAACCTGTGGGAGGGGGTACAACTTGTTTTCTTAATTATTGTCTTTAATTATTGTCTTCTCTTTTTTCCCCATATATGTGAAAACAGGAGCAGGAGGTGGGAAGTTAATTGTTAGCAACTCAGAGTACCAGGGAGCACAATAGTGGAAGTTAACATTTAGCAACCCATTGATAACCAGTTGTCACCCTCCCAACCCCCATCATTCATTACCTACACTGATTGCCTATCCTTTACCCCTGCCTCCATTTACTGAGGAATGTGACATATCCTGTCCACTTAGGCTAGGAAGGGCTGCATGCAAATTGTGTTTTTAGCAAAGAAAGAATGTGGCAGGGTCAGCACTGTGGGCCCATTTTATAGAATTATTCTCTTAACCTGGTGTTCTCACCATTGTCATTTTTCTGGCATTAGACAGGTCCTCCACTGCTGAGCTGCATCCCCAATCGAATCATATCTTTTTATATTTTTTTAATATTAAAGAGCTAGTAAATATTTATATGCTCTCTGGATAGTATAAGTCTATCAAAGTAAAAAGAATAATCAAAAATAACCAACATGGTTTTGACATCATAATGAAAATACAAATAACTGGGACAGAAGCAGACCTCAAACAGATCAGCAAGCTTTCCTTTATTTTGCCCCAGAGTCAATCATCAGGCATAGGAGGACTCATTTTCTGGATACGGAAATGGTCTCCAGGTTATAGAAGGAGCCTCAGTTTTACAGTTTACAGTGAGGGTGAATTAGTCGTTGGAGACGATAGATGTGCGATTCAAATAGTCAGGGACCTAGCTATACAGGTGAAAATTTCAACTCAGGAAAGCAGTTGTAAAATTTGTCACTGAGAAAAGCTCAGAACTGGTTGTTCTTCCTTCCTCTTCAACCCATTGTTATCTAGAGCTTCACTATTTGTTTTTCTCTTTCCAGGACTCATTGGCAATGGGAAATGATAAAAGTCCAGGGCCCAGAGTTTCAGTATCTGCTTTCTCCCTTCAGAACCCACTGTGGTTAAGAAAGGGTGAATGTTTGCTTTTGGTGGAGGTGCTGGGGATGAACCCAGGAAGGGATGAAAGTTTGCTTTTCCCTCAGGGCTCACTGTCACTGTGAAAGGATGTACTGGGAGAGGTTTAATGTTTGGCTAATTTCCCGCTTTCCTCTGAAGCCACACTATTTTTCTGGGGGGCTGTCTTGTAGGAATATTATTTTCTTTTTGTTATTTATATATGACAGCAGAATGCATTACAATTCTTTTTTTTTTGAGAATTTTTTAATATTTATTTTTTAGTTTTCGGTGGACATAACATCTTTGTGTGTATGTGGTGCTGAGGATCGAACCCGGGTCACACGCATGCCAGGCGAGCGTGCTACCGCTTGAGCCACATCCCCAGCCCTACAATTCTTATTACACATATAGAACACAATTTTTTCATATCTCTGATTGTATACAAAGTATATTTACATCAATTCGTGTCTTCATACATGTACTTTGGATAATAATGATCATCACATTCCACCATCATTTCTAACCCCATGCCCCATCCCTTGCCCTCCCACCCTTCTGCCCTATCTAGAGTTCATCTACTCCTCCCATGCTCCCTCTCCCTATCCCACTATGAATCAGCCTCCTTATATCAAAGAAAACATTTGGCATTTGATTTTTTGGGATTGGCTAACTTCACTTAGCATTATCTTCTCTAACTCTATCCATTTACCTGCAAATGCCATGATTTTATTCTCTTTTATTGCTGAGTAATATTCCATTATGTATATATGCCACATTTTTTTTTTTTTATCCATTCATCTACTGAAGGACATCTAGCTTGGTTCCACAGTTTAGCTATTGTGAATTGTGCTACTATAAACATTGATGTGGCTATGTCCCTGTAGTATTCTGTTTTTAAGTCCTTTGGGTATAGACCAAGAAGAGGGATAGATGAGTCAAATGGTGGTTCCATTCCCAATTTTCCAAGAAATCTCCATACTGCTTTCCATATTGGCTGTACCAATTTGCAGTCCCACCAGCAATGTATGAGTGTGCCTTTTTCCTCACATCCTCACCAACACTTATTGTTGTTTGTCTTCATAATAGCTGCCATAATAGTGACCCTTCATAAAGAGATTTTAAAAAAATTATAAAAGTATCCATGCAAAGTAACAACTGTACCTTGAAGGAAATCAGAAAACAGTTTGAGCCAAACAAGGCTCAGCCCAGGAGCACAGATTCAAGTTCTCTTGAATGAATGTTTCAAAAAAAAAAATAGTAGGTGTTACAACTTATTACCTAAAACAAAGGTTAATTGATACATTGAATAGATAACAAATCTGGGGACATTACATAGGCAATTAAGATAGAGTGGTAAAATTTGACCACTGGACTGAATGGTATCGTAGTGATACAGGAGATCTTGTTTTGTTCTTGCTCTTGTGCTCTGCAATGATAAAATTTCAGAAAGATATGAGACTTAGTAATAATGTAGCAAAGTTTATTAGAAGGGAAACAAAACAGTCTCAGGGAAGATTGACAATGAGCCCCCTTTGTTTCCCAGTTTTATTGGAGATCTTAGGAAATTTTCTAGAGTGTTCTGCCTAGTTACCACCTTTCAACTTTTGACTGACAGTAGGATTGCATCAGATTTTTAAGTCCCTACTGCGCATGATCTTACCCACACCACAGGTACCCAAGCAAAACTTACTGGGGGAGGAGGGAATTTTACTGTTAAAAGGACATGTTAAATTTAGATCTAAAAGCAAATCTAGGTTACATCAGCGGGTACTTATTGGTTCCAATTGGAACTTGTTCTTACAGATTGTATGGTCATTGACCTTTGTTTGTAATTATCCTATCTTCCTGAGTCCTGGAATTTTTGGTATATATAAAGGTCTCCCTTTTAGGGTAACTTATATTCTCCTTCTTGATGGAGATAGTAGCTTTGCAGATAACAGGTTGTTTGCTGAGGAATATAACATATCCTATTGACTTAAACCAGGGTAGGGTAGGAGTAACCTTAGGGAAATTGCTTTTTTAAAGAAATTCTGGGGGGTGGGCAGTTTCCCCTCAATTCCATATGCTCATATCTGTCTGCTACCTATTATTACTATATTCTTAGTGAGAAAATTGGTCAAGGCAGGAGTCTGTTCTTTGTCAAGCTATGGTTGGTCAATTAAGTCTAACATTAAAACAGGTTCATCTAATAGATACAAAAGTCAGGAGGAATGGAATGTTTTCTAAAGGCTGAAATAGCCCCTATAATCCTCTAGTGTCCTCCATTGCAGGACTTCAGTAAGCCTGCCCATGTTTACAGTTCCCTGTGGAAGAAGTTATTCATCTGGTGCTTGCCTGAAGAAATTCTATCACAGTAGTTTCTTCAAGAATGTTCAATTTCACAACAGGGGAAAAAAACAACTTTAGGACCATCACTGCTGGTTTCCAGTAAACTCTGAAGAATCAGATTCTAGGAGTGGAGTTATAGGTCAAAGAGTATATTACATCTTAATGGGTCTTGCTACATATTCTGTAACTTTGGAAACTATTTTATGTTTTTAATGCTAATTTATTTGGCAAAACAGGATCTTTTAGGGGAGCTTTAATCACTTTTATTATAGCTGTCTTTTACTCTGGCTTTGATTACTGTTGCTATTGGTGTTTATTCATATGTAAATGACTTATTCACTACACAAATGTCTGCTGAATACTAGGCCCTGTTACTAGCTGTGGGAATATAGTAGTAAGAAAAACAGGCAGCTGCCGTGAGGTACTTACATTCTAGTGGAGGACACCATAAACTAAGAATGAAAGAAGGAAGGGAGGAAAGGAAGACAAGATATAGAGTAAGAAAAAAAGAAAGAAAGCTAATGATTATAATATGGTTGTAGGTGCTGCATGGAAAAAT